ATTACAAAAAAATCGATCATGGATTACAAAAAAACAAAAACAATTCGATCATGGATTACAAAAAAATCGATGAGTATTACAAAAAAATCTATCATGGATTACATACAAAAAAAAAAAAAAAAAATACCCTACGGACTCGCTGATTCCGTACAGTGAATCGACGAGTCACTGTGCGGAATCGTCCGGTTCTCTCTAGAACCGGACGATTCCCGATTTTTCAACCGATCCGATCCCTTTTTGCGAATTCCGAGTCGAACCGGGCAAGTCCAGTTCGACTCGGCGTTTTTTAAAACGCTGGTTGTGACCTATATGTACCCCTACCACCACAAGACCACTCTTACCACCTCAAGACAATAATGATGATAACCTTCATGTGCAAAAGACCTCCATGTGCAAAAAGATAGGTGTTTATCCAATAATATACTTATAACCAAAAAGACCTCCATGAGCAAAAAGATAGGTGTTTATCCAATAATATACTTACAACCAATGATTGTGATCTTCATATATAAAATTTTCTAATTGCACATTTTATAGACTTAAGAAAATAAATTCCTGACATTTAATTATTATGAACTCAAATTTCAATCTTTTTACTTTGAGATTGATAATTGCACCTTCTATGCACCAAAAAAAAAATGTCTCGTGACTTAATTATTAAAAACAAAATTTAATCTTTTCTTTTTCGAGATTGCTCACGTAGTGATTCCTCAGTGGTTACAAAACTTTAGATTGAAAATGTCCTCCTAAGTTAGTGAATAGATATTATAAATGAGATTGTATATTATGAGATAATTTGTTTTTAATTTATTTTTTAGTACAAGGTCACAACTTTATTTAGCTATTGAATGTGAAATCCACGTAAAGAATGTTGTATTTTTTTCTTCTTCTCTTCTTGCCTCTTGTTTTTAGATTTTTTTCAACCTAGAATCAGAACATTGATCCGTCTTCCATTTTTTTTTCTTCTTCTACAAAGTACGTCTAGTTTCTCTCTCTAAAAGGGATCTCGTCACGCATTGCTCGCTGCTATTTTCAGCAACAGATAGTAGAGGTTGTGATCCGTTTTTTTGCATGTCGGTGATAACACCTACTGCCTAAAGCTTTGCAAGGGCAGATCTCCCAAAAAACTTCTCCAAAAAGATTTACATCCGTTAATATCTATTAACACGTGCCTTTGCAAACCTTTGTTAATATCTTTGCTTTGCAAACTTTTGTAAGCAAAAACTGTTGGGTTTATGTAGCCATTAAAGACATTACGAGTGATTGTAATAGAAAAATCTGATATAGTGAAACATAAACTCAGTGGGAGTGTGGTCCCTCGTAGACCATACTGTGTAAATAGTATTTGTAGATTTCGATCTGTGCTTGACGGTCTAGGTCTATCAGTTGGAAAAAAACCCATGTTACTTGGGCATAAAGTATAAACCGAAAAGGGTTATAATGGGTCATCCCTTAATGAGGTCGAAGTATGCCCGGATGAGTGAGTCGAGGGACTGTGTGACCCTTGTGTGTGATGGTGGCCTGCAGAGATGGGGGCCAAAGCCTCATCCTTGTACCATCACACGGCTTGCATATTGATAGACTATTTCAGGAAAGCAAGCCACCTTCGGGGTGAAGCGTATACATGTGCGAGAGACACTCCTATGCACCATAGGAGCTATAGTCGCATCCGGTCTAAGTGACCTTGACTCGTATCTAAGGGAGGACCTGTAGTCCACAGATTGGGATTGCAACCCCTTGGCTCATCGACCAGACTTTGGTGACCCGCTAATGAGTCCCTGTTTAGACTGTAGGTCATGAAAAATAATGGGTCGGTCTGATAAAGCAAGTATGGTCTATAGTCCACAGTTGAAGGTAGAGTGTCTCATGATTGTTGATTCAATTCCTAAACTATATGGACAATTTTTCAATTAAATTAATTTAATTGTATTTTTTTTATGGTAGAAATTATTTTAAAATTATTATTTAAACTTCTATGAACCCCTAGATATTTTATTTATAATTTTTGAATTTACAAAACTAAATATATTAATTTTACAATGGTTTAAATATTCAAATAATATTCTAAAAATACTTTTATTAATTTTAAATATGTGCAGTTGGCATAGAGGTAAGGTGCCCCTTCAAATTTTATCATGGTATATAATATTGATGTAAAATGTTCTTAGGATTGTCTCAAAATATATTTTTATATCTAATTATAAAATATTAAATTTCAAAAATGATTAAAATTAAGTAGATCTATAAACATATGAAAATCTTGAAAATAGACGGTGTAGATAATATGTTTTAAAATGCACTATTTCTGAAACTTGAAAATCTTTTTATTTTTCATGGTCATACATCTTAATGTTGAGATGATCAATCAAAGGGCTTTTCAACATTAAAACTACCTTTTCTGATGGATGTTTTAGGTGCATCCATAGTTCTATATTATAAGGTTGCATCCTTATATAAACTTTTTCTATTTTAAATATATAAAATTCCGTGGGGGCCCATTGTTCACATGGGCCCACCATATTTTTAGAAGGTGGGGCCCATGAATCCCTTCTTTACGTGGCACACCCCACCCTTTATTCTCTTTCCTATTTTGTTGAGATATGATATGTGGTTATATAGTTGGAAGTTATTGACTAAATATTGAACATGTGCTATTTTATGGTATGCACAATATTTTGACTAGATTTAATTCATTTAAGTTCTATTGATGAGAAAATAATTTAGAAAATGAGGATAATAGTTCATGCACCTTTTATAATATTGATGGCCCATATGAATAAATAACTCATATATCTCATCTTACAAGTCACCCTTGATTGACGGTCCATGTTCAATTTCACTTAAGAGGCAAACTACTAAAAGCTCTAAACCTAAACTTGTTATGCAAATAGAGGACCTCCCCTCCTCTATTTTCTACACCAAAAGGCCTCTCTTCTCTCTCTCTCTCTAAAGTCTCTCTCTAAAGGGCACACCCCAACCTTAGTTTTTCTCTTACTCTCTCTCATCTCATTAAGCCTAAAGGTTGGGTAGTAGGGGATAGGCTAAATAGGTCTTGGGGGTCAAGACCTAGGATCTAAGCTTGATGATAGAAAGGGAGTTTTAAAAAGTTCCATAAAAATAGTTTGGCATAAATTTGCTTTCCTGGTTGAGATTGAAGCTAGATTGTCAACCCCGCGCCATCAGATGGTGGTGACTCGGTGTGGGGTGTAATAAGCCTGGTTGAAGTAATCCCTAGCACTCTTCACTTTTATTTCTTGCAATTTTATCTTTATATTATCAAGCTGTAAGATGTCTTCACGTTCCTATGGAGGACTTTTTTCTTCTTTATTATTGTAACAACTCCTTCTATTTTGGGGGATATTTTTTTGTTATGCAATTTCTTGTTAGCAATCCCTTCTATTCACGGATTTCCTTCTTGTTTATGTACGCCC